ATCATACCAGCTTAATAAAAGTCTGAAGTTTACCTAATTTTAAATTTCAGATTTGCTTGATCCGTTTCGATGTGTATTCTCTGTACTTGTATACAATAATCCTTTTTGATTTTTAGCCCAGAAGGGGTATCACTCTCTAAACACTGTTTTGCGTTGATCCACTTTATATGTCTCCTTTGTAAATGCGTTGTTACACGTTCCAGTCCAGTCTATTGCCATTCGGGGAAACGTAAGATATTTATTTTTCAAATTTAACCTGTCTGCTATTGACTAAACTAAGCTATTTAAAGACAGTAGATGTGGTTCTTAAAAATATTACTTTTTATTTTTTGTCGAAATAATATTAATAAAAATGCACACAATTTATGGCATATCTAATTACTAAATACAAAACTAAAAACATTAAATATTTTATAGAATTACGTTATACACTTTTTTCACTTTCCAAATACTCAGAAAATATATCTATATGTATCTATACATATCTCTTTATATACATAACATCCCTGTGTTAATCTAAATGTGCATTCATCTACAGGTAGTATCCTATAAAATGTTTGCTTTTCCGCCTCGGCCATCTGTATTAATAATCTCTAGTGATAAACCGTATTAAGCTTGAAAAGAGTCCTTTGGGGCTACAATTATTCTTAACCCTTTCACATTATATATTTATTTAATTTATTTTATTTCTTTTGTGGTGGAGTTTTTTTTCTAACTTTACTTATTGACTAATTTTTTGTATCTAAAGGTGGGCAATTCGACCATGCCCACTCCTAAGGCCAGAAATGGTGGCCATTTTATTGTGGAGGCACCTAATAGGTGGTCATCGTTGCCTTCTGTCAAGGGACGGACAGTTACAGCCATGCCTTCTTCGGGATTTGAATCCGGGACCTTTGGTACCACAGTTGGCTCTCCTAACTGTTCTACCATGTCGGCAGCTTATTAACTAATTTTATAATCTGATAACGTACTTAAAACTGGGTGTTTAAAACCAGTCGTTTGCGTCAAATTCAGATGTCAAATAACTCATTTACTTCAACAGAAAGTTTTTAGAACGATTTAAAATAAACAAACAAACAAATAAATAAAAATAAGTTCTGCACAGAATGAATTGCTCGGTTCAATCTCATCGTACCATACGCAACATTCCATTTGTTTATACGTATGTTTTTGTACTGTACATGTAACAAATACGGTTTCACGTTTTTTGCGGTAATACGATTTGTACAACTGTATTACCATAAAACATGTATGTTTTTGTACGGTACGGTTTAATCAGAAATTGATTTATAACTTTTTTTATTTTTGTTATCACTTATGTATGTTTTTTTAATATTCCACATTTAATGTTTGGATCAAGTATCATTCCACATAATAATACTTCTTTATAGTGATAATCTTGTTATTAACTGCAAGCCATTTCTCTTTCTGTATATTGTGTAAGTAAAAAATTAAGAATAAATAAAGATAAATTATTGCATAATTTTCTGGAATTATCATTGACAGTTGTATCTATAATGTGATAGTTTTTTAAAAGTATATTTATATGTATATATGCGATTTAAAAAGACGGGATATACTAAAAATTAAAGGCTATGTCCTTGATGTAAGTCATTCTTTTCACGTTTTTTCTATATTTTCAAAATGTTTATTTTTTGTGTGGAAGTATTTACCTTTATTTTGTAAAACTAAAAAGTTTTTACTCTAAAAAAAAAAAAAAAAAAAAAAAAAAAAAAAAAAAAAAAGACTTTTCTGTTGCTAAGATTTTTTCTGTTGGGGGGGATAAAATATATAAATCAAAATATTAGTTCTAATTTGCAGTCTTAAATCTCTATTTTAGTTTAACTAATTCCTCTTCCTGTAATAAAAGTAGTAATTACTTATAGTCAATCTCTTTTATATGATGTTTACGTATCGTTAATGACCCAGGCGCTTATATAACTCTTTAAAGAATAATCGTTTTAAATTTGGGAACCGAAACTTAAAATTAATCAGCAAGGATACAGCTTAGCCGAAATTAAATAATTTAACTAGGTTTTCATCTTGGACATATCGTATTCCTTTTGCTGCTTCCTATCTGCACTAACATGTCGCTGCTTACCTGTTTTTCAGCAATTGATTTATAACTCAACTAATTTATAACTGTTATACGTTAATAAGATAATAGATAAATAGAAAGGTAGACAGATAGAAAAATAAATATAGGTATGTTGAAAGTTATTGGTATCCTATTGCTGTAAATGGCAATAGACAGATCGCTTCAAATTCACGTAAATTAATTTATAGAAAGAATGCTAACTCGTATAGAAAGAATTAAGTTTGTAAAGTCTATTTCTTTAATTTAATTATTAAGAGTAAGTTTTTCTTTAATATTGTAGGGTTTATATTTATTTTAACTAACATTTATTTTAAGTTTAAACTATCTTTCCTGTCAATCCTTACTTTCCCCTGGAACTGCCAATGCCAGAATATGTAAATTTGAGTAGAACGCGCAAGCATTTAAATTATCAGCGGAAGTATTATGATTTAAATAGAAGGAAACAAGTTCGGTGAGAGAGAGTTATTCTTACTTAGCGAGCGCGGAGGTAGTTATAGAGATTTGAAAAACCCCGCGTTGCGGCCTATGTGCTTGGCGGGAAGTAGTTGCAATTGTTCCAGTGAGCTTCAAGTCTGCTGAATTAGCAGCCGTATTGTAAAACGCGGTGAGTTAGTTATTTGAGAGAGCCTCGTAGTTAGAATATTGTCTTTAATTTCTTTTCAGGTTTTTATTTTGACTGCCGAGTTGGCACCGTTTGTAAGCGTCAAGAGAACGCAATTGTAAATTAGTACGTTGAATAAAAAGGGACTTAAACCCTTTATAAGACTCTGTGGTTTATACAAGCTTTCACAGTCACCTCTTGGTTGCGTGCTAGTTAGAGGCGCGCAACGTTATAATATTACAAAATCGGTCTCATTAGTTTTATATATAGTTTTTAATATCAGTAATGTACGTAATATGATGGGGAAAAATTGCATAAAAGCATTTTTAGAGGAATGAAAAATGAATAATCTTTAATCTCAGTCCCATTCAATTTAAAAAAAAATGGATGTCATGACGGGAAAACTGCTTGAACTTTAACCAATCATTAATTATCCATCGAGAATCTTTGAGAATACGAAAGGAAGAGCAAATTGTACTTTTAGTGTTGGTGTGGTGCTGCCATCTATGAACAATTGTTAACATTAAAGTGTGAAAATTGAATTTATGAACAAGCGTAGATATTATTTTCCATAAAATACAGCGAAAATCTCTCGTCAAAGATAAAGAAACCAAAATATTATGATTTTTCAATTAAATAAATTATTAGATAACTAGCTTTTTTCACTTTCTCGGCAAGATAAACTTATTCGTAGGCTAAAAGTTTCCAAAGAGAAATTTGGTAGAAACAAAAATTGATACTTTTGTAATTTTTTATTTATTTATTCTGTGTAACGTATTGAAGTCTTATTACTAAGACTGTATTATACATGAACTATTTAAAATGAGAAATGGAGCGTAAATAAATTTTTGCTTTATGTTGCAAGTTTTCATATTACAAGTATTCGTTATTTCCTAAATATTGTAATTTCTTTGGGATCCAAGAATGCCAACTTGGAATCGTACTCAATTCTTGGCTATGAAATTTTGCCAATTCTGTAAAGCTTCCCCCCTTTTTTCTAAAAGTGAGATTAAAATAGTTATAATGCAAGACATGTGCATCGATAATTAAGCATTTCAAAATGCATGTGGTATCATTTTTTGCTTGCATTTGAAATATGTATGTTTCATCGGTGTTAGTTATCATTAATAAAAAATATTGAAATATTTACACGTTTGAGATTATGCCTATGGTTAGCAAGTGAAGGATGGCAGAGCGTGGACATCCGATTTTCAACAAGTAAAGCCTACCGACCTGCAGCCATCGAACAGACCACTGCAATTTTCACAGACAATATATAAAACAACAACAGGATCTCCTTTCTTCTTTTTCCCCTCTAATCAATAACGGCAGAGAATAATGGCTTTCAAAAGACTTACAAACATGGCTATCAAGAATTAGTAGCAGCTTTATAGCTATTACTAATTCATGATAACCGTTTATAGGGCACTCACGTCTAGGCTCACTATGTGATGTTGCGTCTTTGGCTGACTGTTGTCTTGACCACATTTAACGTATACATATAGCAAAAGATAAGCATCAAAGATGCAAAACTTACATGTATGTTTTAATTCATGTACAGTTTACAGGAGTGATCCAGACTGGCCCCTGGAACTCATACGTCGTTGTTGACTTAAAGGAGAGATACCGACTGGCCCCTGGAACTCATACGTCGTTGTTGACTTAAAGGAGAGATACCGACTGGCCCCTGGAACTCGTACATCGTTGTTGATTAAAACAGGACTCATGTCATACCAGGAAATTTCCACGGACTAGCTTCCCTTGTTGCTACCAAAGGGCAAAACTTTTGAGACAGAAGGACTTTTCAGCAATTTCCATTCTGTGATCATACACTGTGTGTGCAGAATTTATATGACTGATTTTAATTTCAAGTTATACTTAGAGCTGTATTTTGATATAAACTGATCATGATGTATGCATTACTGAAATGAAATTCTGTTCTTTCAAAGTAACGTATATGTTTTCCCATAGTTTAAGTGACGCATTACACTGACGGCCACTAGTGCATAAGTAGCTGTTCTAATTTTTTGAAATGCATTTTTATGTTATACCTAAATTCTTGGTATATCAAAATAAATATTCTTCTTGACGTAAGTACCATACGTATTATAAAGGGGCAACATTTTCATATAGGTAACCCGTTATGACATTGCTTTATAGCTTTATTTTAGGCTAATTGTTTCCTATTATACGTAATTGTTTTTTTATAATAAATAAACTTGCTTTGGAATAATGATATTTACTTTTTGTTTTGATTAAAACAAAATCTCACCTTATTTATATTTCTGTGTCTCATTTCAGAAGATGCAGCGCAGGTTAGGAGTAAACCAAGTTCTCCATTTCCTTTGAAGTCCCCTCACTTTCTGCCTCTTCAGAATGGTCCTCTTCAACAACCAGAACCATCTGCGGCAGTGGCAGCTGTAACTGTCACCACCAGTACAGCAAATCCCGCAACTGTCCCAACTTCCAGCCAGCTTGGTTCTTCTAATCCTGCACCACTGCCTTCTTCTACCTCACCCGCTGGTGGGGTACCATTCCCATCTTCACTCTTAAGTCAGGAAGAATTCCCAGTCTCACCGACTGCAGCGTCTTCAGCATCCAAAACCATCAGTCCTGTACTTCGATCCAAAAGCTACGATAGTGTGGTGAAACCTCGAAAAGGATCAAACAGCGACGTTGTTCACTCCGTTCCTTATCCTATATGTTCATCCTATTCAGATTATACCGTAAATTACTCTACGAACCAGTACCCAACTAACAAACATTCGTATCTTAATCAAGATAATCGAGATACTAATCAACGAGTGCATCATCAAAAATTTGTTGCAAATAATTATTACCATCACCATCAACAGCCATCCTTGGAGAAATACCCTAAGGAAACTGTACCCCGTGCCACATCCAAAGAGATTATTTCATGTGATGGTTACAAAAACGATAACTACATTGAAAATCGTTTTGAAAGTAAGCCTGGAAATGATGATTTGAATTACTGCATCAGTCAAGCCTATACCAATGAAAAACCCTGTGATCCACAATCAGTGTATAAGAAAACAAACCCGAATAATGTATATAATTTTAAATCAAATGAGCTTCTAACTCAAAATTCAAATGAAAGCAACGTTGTAAGAAACAGTGGAGATAAATCCACTAATAAACTTGTTGCGGACTGCTATCCGAATGTAACTAAAGCTAAAGTTCCCAATAGGACTACTTACTATCAATCTATAGTAAACAAGACCCATTCGCGGCATAAAACGAGTCGACGTGTTCTTCCTGCTAGCGCATATGAAAATAATTCGAAGCCAGTGGTAAATAACTATCCAATCGCCAAGCATGCCGAGTTGATTCATGGTCATGGAAATAAGCCCGTGCAATATGCTTCTTCCCATTATAATACAGAAGGAAAGAAAACTGATTATTATCAGCCTGTGAGTTTGGCAACTACATCGACTTCGAACAATTATAATTGTAGTCCTTATAAATTGGATGCACATCAATCTAATATAAGTAATAACAGTACTTGCTCCAGCAACTGGACAGAATCTCAGTCTGTTGGATCCAGAAATTTTAAAGTGAACACTGAGCAATGTGTTAACAGTTATCGAGAGAAGTCAGCGGTGAACAACGCTGTTAATACAAATTCTAAAGCTTATAACGTTCATCAAGGTGTCAGAAGTTTTCATGATGGCCACTCTAAAATACCTGCCGAATCATCTTCTGATTATGGAAATAATGATTATTATCAAAAAGGAAGTGTAACATACTCTAGGTCAGGGACCACTCAAAGTGCAATAAGTGATAATTTTAAAAGTGCTAATCACACGACTGAACTTGCAGCTTATCAGAATAGGAATCAAGCTTATTCCCATTCTAGAACTTCAAATGAGAAAAACAGAAGCTTATATCAAAATCAAGAAAATAACTTCAAACAGTACCAGCAAGAATTAGTGCCAAAACAGAATATTGAAACTTCTCATAACTATAAGATTCAGGGTGATGTGAATGCTTATTCTCATTATGGAAGCTCGAGCTCACTGAAATCGAAAGAGACTGTTACTCAGAATTTAGAATCATCGAAACCTGTTCCAATTGAACATATTTCAAACAACTCTTTAGAGGTTAATTCAAATATCCAGCCTTCAGTAAGTGAAGGAACGACATACTATCCGTCATCTTCGGCAAGGGATAAAGCTACGTTTTACCCATACGCAGAACCCTCTCATTTTCAACACCGTAGAACCCCTCCCATACCTGTTCAAGCATCCAAACCTCAAACTACATTTGAACCTTTGAATATACCACCAAAAGATACTGAAGGTTTCAGAATCTCATCATCATCCACTGCCATATCATCATATTCACAGAGGACCACTGTGTCGTCTCCAGTTACGGTATTTGATAACTCTAGAAGTACAGTCAAAACCATCTGGAGTCCATCGATAACTACTGCATCGATTAGTGGTACCACAAACAGAGAGGTTATTGCTGCATCTAGTCGCGATAGTCACAGTTCACACAGCAACAGCAGCATATCCAGTCTCAGTCAACTAAGCCAGTCATTGGGTTCAGGCCCTCAAGGTATGAATTTCAGTAAAATGTTTATTTCTATCAGTACACTAAAATATTTTAAATACAACATTTATGTTTTTTCATTTATGTCTATGGAGACGTCTTTTTAATTTTGCATAATTTGTGTCTTGAAATACTATGACTGGAGCAAATTATTTTCATAATTATTATTTATAAACTAACATAAATTAATTATAGACATTAAGAACTGATCTTAATGTTTTTTCAACGAAATTTAAATTATTTTTATCGATTGTAATTGTCCTAAACTGAATCGAATTTACAAGAGCCGTTATTCCTTTTAACCGGTGAATATTCATGTAACGTAAAAATTTATTTTGTGCACAGTCTTCATGCTTTTGATCTGAAATTGCTTTAAATTTTAAGTTTTTGGTAATCAAGCTGTTTAAGATGGAGTGAGAACATTCTAGAACGAATTCTTATTAGTTTTCTCGAGAATGATCTCGAGGTCAAGAGCTCTATATACCATTCTAAAACGAACATTCTAGAACGAATTCTTATTAGTTTTCCCGAGAATGATCTCGAGGTCAAGAGCTCTATATACCCTGCTTGCACGCAGAGTATTTTGAATAGTAGAGAGTATTTTGAGTTCAGTAGTAGTGTCTTGCGTCCAGAGATTAACTCGAGAGCGATTGACCATGTCGGAAGCTGTACTTTAGTGCTTTACCGTGAAGCTGTCTTAATCGTTATAGCCTGAAGCAGTGCTTAAATTGCACCGGAGCCACCGTCAAATTTAAAAAAAAAAATTACAATTTTAGCCGGAGCGCACCGGAGCCCTAAATAAGATGAGCTCCGGTACTTCTTTTTATAAAACTGAACCACAATTTAAAGGGAACAAAATTTAGAATTCCTAACGTTTTAGTTTAACAATAAGCAGACCTTGCAATACTCTATTTCCCTAGAAATACGAACTCATGAGAACATGAGACGTTCAAGTAAAGTCCCCTCACTCACATTCGGAAACCTTTCCCTTTAAGAAAAGCAATAAATTTGGGGGAGTTTGTTTAGGAACGCCAAAATTTCTCGCCATGCCATTGGATCTAGTGTATTGTTATCAATGCTTACAGTTAGTTATCCTCGCAAAAAGCAACATTTGTATTCTGAAATGTGCGTTAAGTGACAGCGAGTAAAATAAGAGTGAAATACTGAGATAAACTGCTCAAGCACGTCCTATACATCGTCTTTCCACAGTATCCACTAATGGGGGGGGGGGGGAGCGTAACCAGCAACTTTACATTTAGGAGTCCGATTCGGGACTCATTTACCCCTGACACCCATCTGCTTGATGGCTATAATTATATCAACAGAGAGCCGCGGTCAAAGAGAGCATTCTCTCTCACCGATTCCCCTCATTTTTTGTTTCCACTCACTCATACGCTCATTCTGTTTCGCCCTGGAATTTTCATCAGCTACACTTCAAGTATATTTCATTTTTGTGATGATAAAAGAACTCCCCCCCCCCTACGATCAGAACTTAAATTGGGCCAGAACACACCGGATGTCGGCTCCGGTGCTTCTTAGTTTTTGTAATAAATCATAATTCTTGCTGGAACGCACCGGAGCCCTGAATAAGAAGGCTGCGGTACTTCTTTTATGTAGTTGAATAACAATTTCAGTAGGAATGTTATCTCGAAAATTTTATTTTAACAATAAAATTATATTAAATCGCGTATTAAATTTCAATTTATCTCTTTACATTTTATTTAATTTTAATTAGTTAGTTACTTCAATCTTTAATTATTTCAATGAAGAATAATTAATTATCTAATAATTATCTATTAAATTATAATTGATTAATTATATAATAATTATCAATTATATTATAATGAATTTATATAATAATTATTGATTAAATAAGAATTTTTGTTATTTATAAGAATTAATAAGAATTTTAAGAATTAATGTTTATTGATTAAATAAACATTAATTAAATAGCTATTAATTAATTTGATAATAAATAATTATTTAATTTTAAAATTATTAATGAGTTTAATAGTCATTTTATTTATTTATTTACTCTTGTTTCTTTCTGCTGATGGTCTTCCATAGGGCTCCGGCACTTCTAATCTTAGAAATTAAGCCCTGGCCTGAAGGCTGTGTTGTTGATTATTGCAGCGTGTTTGTCCTAGTTTTTCGATGACTGCAACGCGTCGTGGATTTGGAACTGTCCTGTGTAATACTAACATAAATTGTATTTCGATTCTTCATCAAGTGTTGTCATCAATGACTCCAAATCCACAAACCTTAATGCAACAACTGATGTCAGAAGTTGAATTTGCGAGTGGATGCCTGTGACCCACCTGTAGGAGAAAACCATGGCAGAGGAAATGAAGACTTTTGATGGACTTGTTAGCAAAAGCCGAACTAGAAGAGTTCAAAGCCGGACAGGAAGAAATGAAGGGTGAACAAGAAACGTTAGTGAACGAAAACAAAACGTGGCAAGAAGAAATAAAAGCCGAACAAGAAAAGCTGCAAAAGCATCTCCAATGGATGGTGGTGGAGCAAAAGAAGATTAGAAGTGACATCGTGGAGTTAAGAGAGAAAATTGGAGTCAAAAATGCAGCCAAATGTGAAAATGACAGTTGTGGCATCTGAAGAATCAGAGAATGAAGAAATGGAGGAAGTAGATGGTGAAGTGTCTGAGAAAGATCAAGAAATGAAGGATGAAACATCTAAGTGTCTGAGAAAGATCAAGCGTGTGAGAAAAGTGTCTGAGAGTGTCATAAAGTGTCTGAGAGAGATCAAGAGATGAAGGATGAAACATCTAACGAGATTTGAAGAAAGAGAACGAAAAGATGAAGAAATACCGCAAGTTCATCCGGAACTAGTTAGCAGAAATTAGCTCCACTGAAGTTACCAGATTTAGTATAAAACTCAAATGAACTTCATTTAAAATTTATTTTCAGTTATAGATTTAAAGAATTTTCTAAACTATGCAGCCTTTACAGTTACTTTAATTTTCGAAAGCATATGGCAGGCGAGAAATTTGGTTATGGTCATAAAACACTGCTAAGTAACCAAAAGCATGAAAATATTTGAACTTAATTTATTGCAGGAATAATCTGTAACTTAAAAATTTTACCACTATTTTCAACTATTGCAATAGCAAAGTTTATATCTTCCTTTCTTTAGGTTATGTTATTTCAAGAAATGTATGAATTGGAATTCTTATATAATTTTATTACATTTCATTAATATGCATTTCGGTATTTATATTTTTAATAGGTACTTCAGTGCAATCTTCTAAGGAGTTTCCAAGAGAAGGACGAAGCAGCAGCAACGGGCATAGCAGGAGCAGTTCCAGGAACGAAACTCCTGTGTGCAGTACTGTGCCTGTAACGTCTTCTACTTCTGCAACTGTTAGTTCCACATCTGCATCTTATGGTGTATCTGGGAGCCTAACAAGTCTTATTTTCTCCAAACCATCTTGGACGAGGTAAGCATGTTGAATGCCATTGCTAAAAATATAGATGAATTTAAGTCCAGTTAATATGGAGCAGTAACTTTGTAACGTGCAAAGATTTAGGGTTGTGTGTTTAGGATGGTTATCCTGAACGAATTTGAACGTAGTTTGCATTACAAGCTTTCTTATAGATATTTTCTGGTTTTCATTAAAAATATTTATATATTTATACTGATCCATATTGTTTTCCCTAAAACTAAATTTTAAATTTTAGAGAAGCGAAATATCCCCAAACCGTTCTGCTTCCATTCATGTTCTTAACAGTAGGCAGTGTATGTTTCAAGATTTAATTTTTCATTCAGCTTTTGCCAAAAAGTAATTTGTGAGTTGACCCCAAATATCAGAGCTGTAGCCAGGGTTTTCAGTGGCCAAGTACAACTGAAGATTTTGTGCCCCTTCTGTGTGCCAAGAATGGAAAACATTTCATTCTAAAATTTCGTAAGATGAATTTGGCTCCTCCTGGATGCTATGCCTCTATGCCAGATATTTCCTTTTGCCTCACCCTCGCTACGCCACTGCCAAATATATGAAATTTTGAGTCATCTGCAAATATAACATTGCTTCAGTATGATAAATTTTTGCTTACCATGTGTTTTGTAAATACCAGATGTATTTTCCTTGATTTTTACTTCCTTATACAAAGTAACAGTAGATTATAATCGCAAAAAACATCGGGTATCATATTTTAGTGGAAATATCTATTTTGACCTTTCCCAATTCTATTTGGATGATTTTTTTTGCGTGATATCTGATAGATAAAGATAAGATAGGGTAGGATAAAGGACTTTTTTTTTTTTTTTTTCGAAAACAAATTGTAAAATAAATTTAAAGTGGATTCAAAAGGGATTTTTTTTCGTGATATCTGTACATAACGTACATACGTATTTATGTATATATCTCGTATAATACAAACATAATTAGCCGTAGAAAGTTTACATTTTGTACATGGGAGTGCTGTAACATCTACTCGTGCAGCTCCCTTTTTTATCGTAATCGATGGAACCAGTCGTATATATATATATACAGGGTGTTTCAACAAATCAGTTACAAACTTTCAGGAGAGATGGAGTACACCTAGACAATGGAAAAACACATATCACTGCAAGGTCTGAATTTCCTGGCCCTGTAAGAAACACAAAACGTAAGAAAGGAAGGACACGGACAGGTGTAGAATATATGTTTATTTTGTGTAGTGCAGCAAAAACCAAGAAATAAGGACAAAAACAGACAATTGTCATCAAAGAAAGCATTAGAAACATATCCTTCAACATGGGATCAGCAGGGGTGATCCTGTGCATTGGCCTGCAAGATCGCCAGACGTAACTTGCATTAACTTCCTCTGGAGGTACGTCAAGACACCAGTGTACAAAAGCCCCCATTAGAAGTACTGAGGAACTTGTTGCACGCATCATTGCAGCTGCTGTGAAAGTCCAGGACATGCCCGGTATTTTTCAGAGCAACAGATCTTCCATGTGCCGGAGATATGATGCCTGCGTCAGGGTCCGGTGTTATAATTTCAAACACCTTCTTTGTTAACGATCGTTATCTATTTTTCTTCTTATTTCTTTATTTCTGCTGTACTAAGTATAATAAACATGCTTCCTGACTCTGTTCATTTTTGCGGTAATATTGCTTGCTTAAATTTAGCTGGTTTCAGACAGAGGCTGTTTAGACTGTCACATAGAATATCGATTTGTGAAAGGTGATGGCTAAGTTTTTTCTCTGAACCGAGAATTAAGCAAATAAATATTTTACTTTGAATTATTAATATGTTTAATTTATATGGGGTGCCAGCTGATCATGTGGGACACCAAATATCCTAGAATCCATAATTCAGAATCCAGTTTATTTGCAAAATTATGTGTATCAGCGTGTGATTTCATGAAGTATTCTTTTCAGATTTGCCTATCCTTGCTTAATTATTTCAGTTAGCTAGCTGTACCATAGTCTAGAAGATTTATGTCATTCATCTATGTCTGAAAACAGACAAAAGAAATACGGTGTGCCAGAATATTCTTGATGATGTTATAACAATCCAGAGAGAAATATTGCTGCCAAAATAAATTATATGAGAACTAGTCTTTGTTTTCAGAAGTGCCAAAGATCTTTCCATTTATCAAATTTTATGTTTCGGATATCATGTTTCTTTGAATGTGACAATGATTTACCAAGACCATAAAATTTAATACAAATAGAAATGCAATGTCACCATGAAATATATTTAAATTAGTTTAGCTTTTTTTCTTAAATCAAAATGCTGTATAATATTAGGTTTCTAAAGGCAATATATATCAGATTTGATATCAGATATCATTTTTATTGCAGGAAGAGTATAATCGTTTCTACATGTTCGAGGTACTTGTAAAATAAAAAGCAAAGAATAGAAATTAAAATATTTTGATGCATTTGAATGTAATGTAATTAAGTAATTACCAATATCGAATTAAGAATTTGGAAGAAGGCTGTTTATTTTTAAAATTTTTAACCAAGGATTTTAATCATAGTCTTCATTTTTTATTATTTCTTTAATATTTTATATGCTAAAATTTTGTTTTCAGAGAGACAAGTTTAAATTTTAATGCTTTAGTGGCGCCATCTATTGCAAAAACGTAGAATTAAATATTGAGTCGATAAAGAACGTTTTAATTTTTTAGATTGAATAAGATCCAGAGTAATTAGAGTTAGTCTGTTTCCTTAATGAAAATAAATATAAAGATCAACTATTATTTTAAATTGTTTTAAAATTTTATTAAATTCAGGAATTTTGCTAGAACTTGTTTAAACTGTTCTTTTATTATTATTTTATTAATACTATGACTACTAATATTATCATTATTATTTGTTTCAACATTTTTAAAGGAATAATAATATGCAGATTAAAAAATACTGAAGTTATAGCCTGCATGTTGAAGTTATCTTATTTGTGAGATATTGTGGCTTTTAATAACAATTTGAAATTAAGTTTTGCTGATATAAGACATAAATCAAGAACTTAAATTGTAATCTAAAAATTGTTAAGAGAAGACACTTTTTTTTTTTTTTTTTTTTTTTTATCTACAGTTTCTTTTCAAAAGTTTCAAAATATTTTCATTCCATTCACCTTTTTGTGTTCTTGAAAATTGAATTCTCTCTTTTTCACTGCTAACCTTCTCACTCTAAATAAAATTCATAAACTCTTTTTGAGTGTAGGTTGCATACTTTGTGCATATTATTAAAAATTATTGTTTCTGTTATAACTCACAATGGTGTTTTACAGCCCAAGTGTCACAACTGTTCTTACAAACCCTGGTTCCCACTTTACACCTCCTGTAAGTGGCAGTCTAGGCAGTCCTGTGCCTAGTGTTTTACCTTTGGCACCATCTCTGCCAAGCAATCATCACAGTTCTCCCTTTAGCCACCATCCCTCAGCGGCGGCTCTTCATTCGGCGGGCCACCACGTAATGTTTGCACCTCCTTTGCCTCCTGCAGGATCACTCTCATCACCTAGTCTTCCTCTGGCAACTGCTGCTGGGCCTTCGCCTTTTGGAGGCGATTCTCTTTTTGCTCCTCCTTCAAGTGAGTATACCTGTATTTTGCTACACACTCATTATACAAATAATTGTGTAACAATAAGTAACAAAATTCAGTATTCTATTGAGGTATTAATTTCAGTGTAAAAAATACTAAATGCACTTTGAGAAAACTTGCAACTCATTATGTTTAGCAGCAAGAGGTAGTTTGTAGATTGGCTAGGAAATAATACAATATGATATGAACAAAATTCAGTGGCCTACAGCTTTGTTATTAAAATATGTCTATCTTATATTCAGTAAGAAAAAATTATCAGTTTTCCCACAACTTATCCTTGCTGATATTCTAGCAGGTCTTTTAATTTTTACTAATATAATTTAGGCTATAACTGTTGTTATTTTTATTCTGGTGAGAAATGTATTAATGTGATGTTATAACTTTATAAGTAATGATTAGTTAGAGGATTTTCTTTTTATGACCACTTCTTATCTTAACATCCGCATTCATCTCATGTCAATCTATGTAACATTATCAATAGATATTCAGTGCGAAGGTACATGAGGTAATACTTTGATTTTTTTCTTTTAACATTAGGATGTTTCATTGAACATTAAGGCATTATGTTAAGGCAATATGCAAGAGCTTAAATTTGTCTCTGTAATGAATGATATCATTCCTTTTAGCCACAAACAATTAATTGTAAAGAGTTATGATATATGCATAAAATGTTGCTTAAAAGATAAATTAGGTTTAGCTCATTGAAGGCAAAAAAGCGAATCACTAAGATGTTTAAGGTAATGCTTCTTAATTTTAAACTTTAAAGAGTATTGAGGAATTATTTTCTCATTTCTGTAATTTTTGATTGGCCACTACCATTTACTACAAAAGTGTCCAAGTCACCTTAAAAGATACTTGTTCGCCATACTGTGTATCCTAATTATCATTCAATAAGAAATGATATAGAGAAAAAAACTGTTTTTCTTTATGTCTTAGAAATATGCTGTGAATTTTTGATTATGTAGGCTACAGAATATTTGCCTATTCATCTGGGTTGTTACCTGAATTCATCAATAAGCATCAAAAAATTTTTGTCGACTGATAAATTAGATTTCCTAGAATCTTCCATTCATCTTTGTCTGCCAATTTTGGCTAAATGTTTTAATCTTTATCTCCTTATTTCGGTTATTATTTGTTTATATTTGAGAAGCTCCTGCAAACTACTTTATGAACTAGTAAGGTATTTTATTTTAATTGACAGCTATTATGATTTAAGTCTACTATAACCTCATTTTCCCCTATTCCTCATAAAAATGCAAACTTGTCATGTATATAAGGTAAGGGGTTTGGATATTTAGATGAGAGATTCTTTCAGCCATGTCTTACTGTCACTCTCACCAGCTCTGCCTAAAATTTTATTCTGATTTTAGCATCTTGCTAGCCAATGTTCTAAAATACACACAGGTAAAGTTGAGCCAGTTTAATTAGTCTATTTTATGAGTAGTCTTCGACTACATTATTTACATTAAAAATTTAACTTTCTGTTATGTTAATTTAAATACCCACAAGGTAGAAGAAGTTCATTGTAATACAAGTTGTGCCTATTCTGTTCAATTTAATACTAAATGAAAAGAATGAAATGGAAAAAAAAAAAAAAAAAAAAAGACTGAATGAAATAAATTTTAAACTTCTTCGGTATTTAATCTTCGATGTCTTTAAGACTTAGCCATAACTCACTAACAGTGTAGCAGAGTCTCCAAGACTTAACGACGAGCTTTAGTTACAGCAGAACTCTATAAACTATGTAATTGCATTGAATCTTTGCACTTATATGAAAAAAATTGAAGGAAAAGAAGAAAAAGAACTTTTGACTGTATCTAATCTCTTTCATATTTTAATGAAAAGTTAAACTTAAATAAAGTAAACAAATAAATATTAAGCTTTTTTATTTTGTAAATTTTGATACATCATAATTGCTCTTTATTTCATAAATTACAATTTCATATTTTTAATTTTATAATTTCTGCATGCCATCTTACCAGATTTAAACTGATGATCTATAATCTGGAAAAATCGATAATCGCCAAAGTCCCGACGAGTCCGGATTAAAGACTTTTGACTGTATTAATGCAATGCTGACTATAAATATACAAGATTTTTCACATATTCATCATTTTGAATTTTATCATTTATCCTCTGCATTTATCAATATGTAGGTGTATTTTAAATATCTGCAATATGTGATTAAAACCTTTATGAGTGGATTTTGTATTTTGAATCCCTTCAAAGGTTCATGCTAACTATTTCAGTAATAATGATGGCATGTGGCAATGCATTTTCTTGTTATAGTCTCTTACTTAAATTGCAACATTTCATTTATTAAACCATAAACTTAATAAGTATTAACTTACTTATACATTAATTATTATTACTTAAAATATTAATAAAATAATTTTATATGGTTATCCAATTATTATGAAAAATGAAAGTTATTTTAATCCCCACTTGTTTTATAGGTCAAGATCTTCTGCGGCGAGACCTGGATGCCAGGTTTCTAGCCTCTCAAGACCGTTCAATCAACGTCCCTCCTCCTCCGTACTTGCGTGCGGAGATGCACCAGCATCAACATCAACACACACACATGCATCAACACAGTCCTTTTCTGCCTCCTCCAATCGGAAGTTCTCTTCTTCCTCCATCAGCTGCTCATTTGGTAATTTGAACAATTATATTCCTTTTATTATTAAAAATGCAACAGAATTATGATAAACTGCTTTCCTTAGAGATAACAATTGTGTAGATTAGAGAATTTTGCATTTCCTTACTTCAGACATATGGTAGGAGAGTTGGCTGCTATAACCTTGGGCATGGGTTTAAATCTTGTAGAAAGTGTGGATGTTTGTAAGTGTAGAATATCTTTTCAGCATGGGGTTACTTAAAATACTGTCTAACCAAAAGTCCTCTCAAAAACTAAAAAAATCCTTCGATCCATTCCCTGGGGTATTCTCTATAAAACTGTATAAAAGCGAGCAAAAATCACATTATCACCTATGAAGTGGCAGTGCGATGACAGATGTCCATTTACTGTTTACCATGATGAATTCTTGAACCTGATCAGGATACTCTTGGCTAAGGAGGATAAGCAACAACAATAGACAATTTTACAGATTGTAGGCAAAGCCTTTCTGAATTTTGTTTTTCTCATTTTTTCATGAAATGCGATATCTTTGCACATAAGTAACTACCAGAACATAGCCATATTTTAAGATTTATTGAATGAAAATGTAAAAAAATTCTCATATTTCTTAAATACAGTTAATTGTTACAAAGAAAATAATGTCATCCCTCCTATATAGAAGAAAAGGGAGAGAAAAAGGAATGAATGAGAGGGAAATATTTTAGGGAAGTGGAATAATCTAGTAAAAACATTTTTAATATTTTGTGTTAAAAAAACAATTATATATCCAACCAGTAAAATTACCTTCAAAGTAAATTTTCTGCTCTTAAGCTCAAGGGGAAAAAAATAAATACACTGTTTATAAAAACCTCTGATATGATATTTTTTGTAAATTTAAAAATTTTATCCTTAAATGAATTCCACTATTACATTTCATGCATGTGTAACTGGACTATAGAAAAAGGGGCAAAACTAAATATATAGATTTATTAGTATTATTATTTTGTGTTCTTTATTATGCTTACCACTTTAGCTACCAGATAGCACTTGTAAGTCTCCACAAGTGCTATTTTTATGAACTAAATTCACCACTGATATAAGCAAATTTGCTCAATATTCAAAATCTAAACAAAACTTTGAAAAGCATTTAAGTTGGAGCTCGATATCTGAAAAGTTGTGAATGAATAAATTCTTTACATGTATTATCTACATTAATTAATTTTAAAAGAAAGCTGAATATATGTATTCAAAAGAAGAGATTTATCTAAATAAAAAAATTGAAGAGATTCACTATCCATGAGATTGCTATGGCATTTAAAAAAATGCTGACTAATTGCAGTAATAAAATGAAGTTATTTCTTTAATCAAAATATCTTATAAATATAACATGTTTTTTATTTAAAAATTGCAGATTTGCACAAGAAAAAATTTTGCCATGTTAATTTTTTTTAAATTAAAATTAAATTTTTGCACATCCAAATTAACTGCAGATTACAAGCATTCATAGGTTAAGTGGTTGCAATTATCAAAATTCTACTGTACAAAAAATTAGTTATAAGTGATAGTAAAATTTTTGTACTTTGCATAAAATCTTTCAAAATTTCTTTAATTTCTGTATAAATATGTTTTAAAAACTGTCCAGAACCACAGCTAGGGTTTTTAGTGCCGGGGACAACTGAAGATTTATGCCTCCTCCTATTTTGCCAAGAATGGAAAATATTTCATTCTAAAATTCTATAATAATAATTTGACATACCCTTCATGATGCACCTGGGGACAGATGTCCCATCTTGCTCCTTCCCAGCTACATCACTGAATTTATCCCTTTTATTTTCATGATTTTGCAAAGGAATATGTGAAAAATCTTGTATATTTATAGTCAGCATTGCATTAATACAGTCAAAAGTCTTTAATCCGGACTCGTCGGGACTTTGGCGATTATCGATTTTTCCAGATTATAGATCATCAGTTTAAATCTGGTAAGATAGCATGCAGAAATTATAAAATTAAAAATATGAAACTGTAATTTATGAAATAAAGAGCAATTATGATCTATCAAAATTTACAAAATAAAAAAGCTTAATATTTATTTGTTTACTTTATTAAACATTTCTTGCAATGTGGTGCATGCGTAAAGCATACATTACGCATAGTCGAAATTAGAAAATTCCAACCAGAAAACTATTTGATGTGTATTCGTGATATTTATAATGACGAGGAATTTGATTTAATCATCAAAGACAGAGTACATCGAAATGAAATACTACATTTAGTAAGGAATAATAAGCTGAATAAAATAAAAACATCTGCCCTGAAGATAAGGGTAGTGCTGACAGATCAACTTCCAGTTCATTGCATGCTGTGACGTTCCCCCGCCGGCAGAGCAGCGTGAAATTGATAAACAGATTTCGAAATGGTTGGAGAAACAAAGGATATGCCTTTATGCATTTTTTGCAGCAATTCCACTTTTTGTTTGATTGACATCGAAACATGCTTTCGCTTTGTAGATCCTTTGGGAGCTCCAGAATTGGAAATTCTTTTTGACATAATCAAAAGTTCAAGGTTACGTTTATAAAATTGCTCAAACAATCTGCAAAAAATAATAAGCCAGATCCAATTAGAAGATTAAAAACCAATGCAATCTGCAACTTGCGCAGAAAGTTTGTAGCTTTGAGGTCTGGATTATGGACGTCCGGATTAAAGACTTTTGACTGTATCTTCATACTGAACCATTCTCTCATTCAGCATCATAAATGTGCATTTAATTTATTTTTAAGTTGCACTTATGTTTAATGTAGATAAGGATATCATATTACAGTAAAAGCTCAACCATCCAGAAAGCTCAGGAAATGCCAAATTCCAGAAAATTATCATACAAAAAAATGCAGTTTACAGAAAAAAGCCAAATGAGTGAGAGAAAAAATTTTCAATCTACAATGAGTCGTTTTATTTGCTAGCAACTTGAATATCAAATTCTACATTTAAAGTATGTGAGGTGTCAAAATAAAAAAGCCATTCTTGGCATAAATGCTGAATCATCAGTGCCAGATTTACATATAAGTTGCACAAGCTGTTGCTTATGGCCCCCACTTTCTTGAGGCAACCCCCAAAAATTGTACCATATTCCATAAAAAAATTACTTATATCCCTCATAAAGGACACCCATATTTGGTGGTCGTGTGTGCTTAATGCATGATATAATTAAAGAAAATAAGAGTAGACAATCTCCTATAACAAAAAAAATATATTAAATACTAAATTACAATTTAAATTACATTGCAGAGATCAACACAGAGCTCGGAACACAGTTCATGCTACCTTCGCGTACAGTTGTGTGACGAGAAGTCTGAGTGAGTAAAGATGTCGCTTTGCTGCTCCGATTAAGAACTGGATTTTACACGTGGCGCCATCTCATGAATAGAAGTTGAAGTATCTGTCGGAACGCCACAGTACTCCCCCCAAGTACCATCGGTACGTTATAAGTACTTTGGGTTAAATTTAACCTTTCTTCCAGATCTGGTAGTTTTAGGTTGCTCTTTAACGGGATGTAAGCTTTCTTCCGGGAGTGATGTTGATGAGGAAGTTGTTGGATCTTGCATTAGAAATGCTGGTTTGAGACGATCGATTCCAATCACTGATTGTTTGCCATTGCAGATGATGGTGAAATGTTTCGGTGTTCGTTTGACAACTTTGAATGGACCATCATATGAAGGTGTTAAAGTTGGCTTAATTGCATCGTTGCGCACGAATACGTGCGAAGATGTCTCAAGCGCAGGATGTACAAAATAGCTTGGCTGGTTATGCGAAGATGCTGGGGTTGGCGAGATATTGCTCATGGTCTCACGTAAACGTTGAAGGAATGTTGGAGGGTCGATAACTGGAGTAGATTCTGGGTGAAAGAATTCACCTGGCAGACGGAGGGTTGCACCATATAACATTTCAGCACAAGTGCTACCAATGTCTTCTTTGAATGCTGTGCGAAGACCAAGCAAGACTAGGGGTAAGGCTTCTGTCCAGTGTGTGCTACTGTGGCACTTCAGACCTTGTTTGAGAGATCGGTGAAAGCGTTCCACCATCCCATTTCCAGATGGATGGTATGGTGTTGTGCGAATATGGCGAATGCCAAGAAGAGAGGTGAGGGATGCGAACAAGTGACATTGAAATTGTCGGCCTTGGTCAGTAGTGATGGTGGTAGGCATGCCAAATCTTGAAAGCCACTGGGAGATGAATGCTCGAGCTACAGTTTCAGCGGATATATTTTCAATAGGAATGGCTTCAGGCCATCTTGTGTACCGATCAATACAAGTGAGGAGGTAAGTGTAACCATTTGAAGGAGGCAATGGGCCAACCAAGTCTAAGTGCACATGATCAAAGCGTCTTGCTGGAAGGTTAAATTGTTGAATGGGGCTGTGAGTGTGACGGGATACTTTACACCGTTGACATCTAATACATGAACGAGTCCATTCTGTGATGTCTTGATTCATTCATCGCTGGCCAGACAAATCTGTCTGCGATCAGCTTTTTGGTGGCACGGATTCCAGGATGTGCCAAATTGTGCAAGGCATTAAACACTTCACGTCTAAAATTGACAGGAATATAGGGACGTATTCTATTGTTCTCTATGTCACAGTAAATTTTAAGCGTTGGATCAATGTGCAGCGGTTGTAACTGAAGGGAGGTTTGTGGATTTGAGATTAGGTTCTTGAGTTCCTCATCATGCAATTGAGCTTTTGCAATTTCAGAGAAATCTGGGGGTAGTGAGGTTGATATTGTTTATCCCCGAGACAAGGCATCAGCGACACAATTATCAGTACCAGAGACATATCTGATATCTGTACTAAACTGGGCGATGAAATCCAGATGTCGAAGCTGACGAGGAGAACATGAGTCAGAGTTTTTCTAAAAGCGAAGGTGATCGGTGAAAATGATGAAGTCGTGTCCTTCCAAGTTGTGCCGGAAGTATTTAACAGCACAGTACACAGCAAGTAGTTCCCTGTCATATGTGCTGTATTTCCTTTCTGCAGTAGTAAGTTTTCTGGAGAAGAATGCCATTGGGGAAAGTCCTTTAGTGGTATGGGCTTGAAGCACTGCTCCTATGGCCGTGTCAGATGCATCTACCATTATAGAGAGCTGATCACTAGGTGAGTGATAAGAAAGTGTGGCTGCATTTGCCAGATCGTGTTTGCATTGCACGAATGCTGCAGATGCAGATTCAGTCCAAGGGACAGCTCGTTGATCGTTTTTTTTTTTTGCTATTCTTCAGAAACTCATGTAGGCAGGCTTGTGTTTTTGCGGCATTTGGCAGAAAGCGTCGGTAGAAATTTAAACATTGCTAGAAAACGCTTCAGTTCAGAGATGGTTTTGGGCTGAGGTAGGTCGTTAATTGCTTTGACTCTTTCCGGTAAAGGTTTGACTCCATTCTGGGTGATAAGACATCCAAGAAAGGAAACTGAGGGTTGACCAAGTACACATTTGGATGGATTTAGTTTTTAATCCATGATCTTTAAGGCGAGTGAAAATCTGACGCAGATGTTTGAAAATGTTCTTCCGCATCTGTAGATGCAACCAGGATATCATCAAAATATGGGATGCAGAAATCGAGGCCAGACAGTACTTGGTGTATGAAACGCTGAAATGTTTGGCCAGCATTGCGAAGGCCAAATGGCATATATAAGTACTCAAAGAGACCAAATGGTGTAGTCACTGCGGTCTTGGGCACATCTTCAGCATGCACTGGGATCTGATGATATGCTCTGGCAAGATCGAGGGTAGAAAATATGTTTGTTCCATGAAAAAGATGGGTACAGTCTTGGATATGTGGGACTGGATATCTGTCAGGGACTGTGACGGCATTAAGTCGACGATAATCTCCACAAGGCCGCCAGTCACCATTAGACTTTTTAACCATGTGAAGTGGACTGGCCCATGGACTTTTAGATGGGCGAATGGTTCCCTGTGCTAGCATGAATTCAAATTCTTTGCGAGCAGCTTTTAGCATCTCTGGAGAAAGACGACGAGGCTTGGAAAATACAGGTGGGCCATGTGTTTCAATGTGATGATACACTTCTGGCTGATGAGTATGCTGCCCTGATTTGGATGGGTTTAAAATGTCAGGGAATTCTGCTAATAACCGATGAAACCGTGTGCTGCCCGATAAAACACTTATGTTGGTAGGTACGTTCGATATGTGAGAAGCTTGGCCCTGTGATGTCAGCTGAGTTGTAGCATCAATTAAGCAATTATTCTTGACATCCACTAGAAGGTGGAAATGTGTCAAGAAGTCGACACCAATAATTGCTTGAGTTACATCCGCAATAATAAAAGGCCAGTTGAAAGTCCGGCGCAAGTTTAAATCAAGTGTCAATAGTTTGGTGCCGTAGGTTGCAATTTGGGTACCATTGGCTGCATACAGTACAAGTTTATTAAGTTGGTGAGCATTTGTTTTAGTTCTCGGGAGCACTGATATGTCAGCTCCAGTATCTACTAGAAAACATAACTGAGTTGAACGATCAGCCAGTACTATTCTGTCGATGTGGCGGACATTCTGTTGGCCAGCAGAAGACCGCCCATTTAGTTTCCCGCTTGTTACAAAAGTGCATGGAGGGGCACACTTGCGAGCTTGAGCGCCAAAATTCATATGATAAAAACATATGCCACTTGTGGGTTCTTTGTACTGCGTTCGAGTATTGTGACGAGATTCGACTCCTGCTTCGGGCACGAAATTTATTACGTGGGCCCTGATTTGATCGATTGTATCTCCGTGAAGCATGAAGACTTGTAGAGAGTTCAGATACTTTTTTGGTCAATTCAGCCACTTGTTGTTGTTCGAGGGATGAACTGGAAGGTGCAGCATTAGCAGCACTGACATAAGCTGGAGTAACAAGTTCATTAATTTTGTCAGCCATTGCTGCTAAACGGGTTAGATCTTCATTGGAAGCAGCAAGAATTATTTGTATGTTATTAGGGAGACGCGAAAGCCATAGTGACTTCAACAAGTCGTCACTAAAATGGCTTCCTGCCAGATCACGCATTCGTGACAGCAAGTATGAAGGTCGCTGATCTCCAAGTTCAAGTCCTTGTAGTAAAGTACGTATTTTTGAAGATTCACTTTCTGAATAGATTTCAATGAGCCGCTGTTTCAGTTTGGAGTATTTATCACAATCAGGTGGTTTGAGAATTAAGTCATGCACTGAATTCAGAATATCAGACTCAATTGCTGCAACTACATGGTTGAATTTTGTAGAATCCTCACTAATGCGAGCGATAGAAAATTGTGCTTCGATCTGAGCGAACCACAATGAAGGATTATTTTTCCAGAAAGGCGGTGGCTTCACCGCAACGCGTGTGATTTGTGGCTCTGGTGGAATATCGTCGGGCATACTGATAGATAATTTTCACTTTAAATTAATAAACACTTAACAGCACAAATATTGTAGCATGAGGATACACTATTGATATTTTACCATGATAACAATAAATATTTTAACCATGCAGAAAAAATTTACGTAACGATACACACACAAATAATACAGGGTCAGCAATTACACACACAAATAATATTTTACCGAAATGCATTTGAAAAGAAACCCCTATTTGAGAAAAAAAATGATGCGTTCATTTTGTATTGCGCACACACAAAATCACCACTTCACACTGCTAAGGCACTTTCGAAGGAAAAAGGAAATCACTCCTGTAGCACATGGGAAAAAAAATTCACTACTTTCGAACACTGAGGGAAGAATTTTGCCGTAGCACGTTGCAGAAAAATTACTGATGTAGCACATTTAGCGAAAATCACTATTGTATCACATTTGTCACAAAAGTTGAATGATCGAAGAATTATTGCACGACTGGCGAAGTCAGCGGAACGGAACAGATCACATTGATGATTTGCTGAAGCTCCTTGCGATGATATGCACGACTTTGAAAAAAAACACAAGCAATATATATCAATACTTCTAGAAATAATTGAAGGGGTACGTTGTAGCATACGTTTAATGTCCATATTCATTGTTATTTTTAGTCAGTTCTTCAGAATGCCTTGGATGCACGTGGCTTAGGGTCGTTGAAAATCCATTGTCAGTAGCGTGCTCAGTCAAAAGGTCACCACTTTTGGTGGTCGTGTGTGCTTAATGCATGATATAATTAAAGAAATAAGAGTAGACAATCTCCTATAACAAAAGAATATATTAAATACTAAATTACAATAAATTACATTGCAGAGATCAACACAGAGCTCGGAACACAGTTCATGCTACCTTCGCGTACAGTTGTGTGACGAGAAGTCTGAGTGAGTAAATGACGTCGCTTTGCTGCTCCGATTAAGAACTGGATTTTACACGTGGCGCCATCTCATGAATAGAAGTTGAAGTATCTGTCGGAACGCCACACACATTTCAAATAGCTTAGTATCTTGTGAAATCTAAATCCAATCCTGTGAATCGCACTCGGTTACGAAATTCATCGACCATGAAAACTGGTGGAGATAGTCAAACTTGCCCGATGTACTGTGGCAGAAGTTTGACGGAACAAATCACTCTTTTATTTAGTTAGGTAATCAAGATAATTATAGGCAGTTAATTATGTGCATTAAGTTGCGGCATAACATATAAAGAACTTAAATCAGTTGTCATAATTTTTTACCTAATTTATTCCATTGATGACAGATCTCAGATTTTATTCATATTTTTTAAATGCGATTGATGTCAAACATCCATTATTGGTGCTAAATTGCACTGTTTGGCAACATTTTTTGTTTGATTCAAATTGTACTCCCTGATTTTATGTTAAAAAAAAGAGATAGCTTCTAAAATTTGAAAATAATTTGTTTACTGTTATTCCAGATAGTTGGGCATTTACTGCATAAGCATTTTATTTTTATATGCTTTTCTTTCTATGAAATGACATTTCCTGTTTCCTTTCAATAGTATGACAAGTTTCCGAAAGTTGATTCAAGCTTCTATGGTCGAAATGCAGTAAGTATGCATTGTATCTATATCTTTGTCCTTGTGAAATAGTGCTTATAAAATGTAAAGTTTATAGAGCATATTGTGATATAAAACTTTAATGTGTTCATGAGGCATTTAGAACATTGTTTATTATTGATGTAATAAAAAATATTTTTTGAAACACTGTTGTTATATACATCCATAAAAGGATATTGTGAGGAACTAGATTTGTTGTGCCATATAGTTGCACCATCTTGGTAGGTGAGTTATAGTTAGTGCTATGTAGTGGCATCAGAACTGTAGCTAATCACAAAGCTGGTATTTCTTATACCATTACAAATATCTGACTTTGGGACTGAACTCTGGACCCAAGATTGTAATGGACTTTAAACCAAGATTGTAATTCTGTGCTTCAATATTTCTTAGCTAGTCACTACAAACTAAGGACAGTGTATGTGATTCAAACTGTTTCTTTGGAGCTTTCTTCCTCCCTGCACTCTGCAATGTATCAGGCATGTTTTGATGCTTCCTCAGTTCACTGGCACCTAATGATCCCTAATGCCATCTCATTTCATGTTACATCTTTGATGGTCTATGCTCATCTCAGTTTATATGAACAATATATTGAAGCTCAGGCCACATACACACTTTTTGAAATACTTGTGCCATCAAACATGCTGTTATCTGCCGTTAGCTGACTGAAGTTACAGGTGCATTTCCAAGATATAAGGCTACACATATATATCTGTGTATGGATCTCAGTTATTCATGAAAAAGGTATTAGGCATGTTTTAATACCAATTGCTAAAGTAGTTCTGTGTGAACTAAAAGGTCTGTTACTACTGTTAATAGTGAACTATGGACCTTTTAATTCACACAGAACTACTTCAGCAACTGATATGCCATAATAAGCTATCATGAAAGCCTATTTAATAAATTGCTACAGTATGCTTGAATGTTGATTACAGTAAACATTAGATGTGCATTAATAATTTTGATAGCATCCAGACAGCATTGTTTCAAAAATATATCACAAAAGTATAATTGTTTTTGATTTTGATCATCTATATGTACAATAACCCTGAGAAAAAGCATCCTATAAAAATATTTTAAAAGATTAAAAAAATTATAGCAATATTAATTATGTAAAAATCATTTAAGTTGTTATTATGTAGTAAGTATTAAAATAATTATTATGTTTCATAAGCTATTCTTAATACTTTTAGCTGGGATTGCCTGCATATCCATTATCACCTCTTCTTGCTCCAGGCTCTGCAACAGCTACTCCAACTCCTTTTGCCCCACCTGGACACTTAGCAGCTTTTCAGCCAAAGGTTTCTGAAATTATATAAAATAGTTTTTCTCATCAAATGCCATTAGACATGCTTTTTTTAGAAAAAATATACTTTATAAAAACTGATCATGGAAAGAAACACTATTTCTTTAAGGAACGTAGACATATATAACATTTCTTTTGTTGAATATGATATTTTCCATTAAGGATAATAATCATTTAACTATCATTGTGGTTTTATATGCAATGTGTTAAATGCACATAAAATTCCAAGTACTTGAGATTTGAGAAATCTAGTCATTGTAACTTAAAAAGCCTAAAGGTCAAATTTGATTATTCTTCAATCAATTTCCATATCATTATATTAACCTGAAAATTATGTTATTTACTAAATAGTAAACTGCCATTTCATCTAATTATATATGATTTTTTATGTTTCTTTCCTTACTGTGAATTTGGTATTTGTTTTTATCACTATATCTTTTTTTTAAATTTAATAATACTCTTATCTTAAAACATAAACTTCATTAGAGCTTCTCTATTATAATTTTTCGGTTAACTATATGACTTTTTCTCTAATAAAATAATCAAAAGCTAAGCTAGTATTTAATTATTTCATGGCACATGATAAAAGTCATTTTTTAAATATTTTTCATTTAATAGTTATATCAATATCTATATATCACAGAAAAAACTTTCATCATATTCTTAAACTTTTTAATATTTTTGTGCAGATAACATCTTAATTATATATATTTCTTTTCAGATCTCATCTTTAGTGAAAGCAAAAACCATGGTAAATATGAGTTCATACATTGTAAAAAATAATTTTTAAAAATTTTAATTCTTTCCAAAATTTACCAGAATTTGATATTTTTTAACATTAAGAAAAAGCATAAACTATTAAAGCACATTGAGCCATAAAATAATGTTATGGTATCATCTCTTTTTTATTGCAGAAGTCTGGGCGATGGTGTGCAATGCATGTCAGAATCTCTTGGGAAATCTATCACCACCAACAGAAGCAGCAAGCAGATTCTCAGAAGAGTGGTAATGGCACTTCAAAAGCTGTCTCAGATCTTCTGCGTCCTCCAAATCATTTATTTGGCTCTATACCTAGGCCTCATGAATTAGGCTTTTCATCACCTTTGTTAGGGGCTGCTGGTACGTTCTGAATCTTGATTTATTATGTATCATTTTTTTACAAAAGCAGTTGTTTAACATAATAGCTTATAATTTAGCATAATTAAAAATAAAAAACCATAGTTTTAGATGCCATTTATTAATTAGAAATTAACTGTAATTAACTGTTTGTTTAACTGTTATGTTTTCTGCTAAAACATTTAAGAGAAATATAATTTAATATATCTATATATTTAGTTACACAGTGTTTCCTCAGAAGATGATAAATTAATACAGTACAAAGTCCGTAATCCGGACGTCCATTATCCCGAATGATCTGTAATCCGGATCTCAAAGCCACAAACTTTTTTTTTTTGTATGCTTTACGCATGTGCGTAACACATTATGCGAGCATAATGCATATCAAGAACTTAATCATAATCGGACTTAAAACTGGCACTGTGCCAAGCATCGCAGGCAAGCAAAGTAATTGTAAATCAGAACTAAGAGGGGATTGCCGTAGTTGACATCTCGCATACATGTGTATGCGAGGATGATATTTTCTGTTTACGTATGCGCGTAATGCATTACACACATGCGTAAATGTCTATGTTAAATTTCTAGAACAATGGCAAGACTTTTTGAAATTTTTTAGTATAAAATTTGCTGTGTAGAGCATCGCAAGATTGTGGGAGGATGTCTCCAGATACGTTAAAAAATGCTTGGCATAATTTATGGCCAGCTACCATATTTCATGCTTAGGAGGATGAGAGAAGCCGAATATGAGGTTTTGGACATATCGACCTAAAGGTGAATTTTCCAGTGTTGGATTTTGTAAAGAATGTGGAGAAGCGGTAAGAAATGAAGAGATGTAACAGAAGTTTTCATAATTAAGACACAATACACGACGATAATACTAATTCAGAACAACAAAAATCAGCGTTAATTTACAAAATTTCACAGGACTAGTTCGATGGTTTTACCGAACCATCATCTTCAGCTGCAAAAACCGCAAATGAACAAGATAGGAAATAATGATTAGATAAGATAAAAGCCTGGACAAGAATAAGCAAGTGGCGCCATCTGTTGGCAAAACCAAACTAAAACATAATTTCTCTAAAAGCCGAAGGCAAATTTGGATTGGAATTAGGATCGTTAACTAGAACAGAAAGATTTTTATGAATGTGAAATGCCTCTAGAAAATCCAGTTCTCCAATGGAAGATGTTTTTTTGAATAATTTTGGCAGCAGAAAAATTGAAAGTGTGATTTTCGGACCAACAATGTTGAGCAACAGAAGACTTCTGTGTTTCCTTTTTTCTAACATATGCCTCATGTTCTTTGACGCGAAATTTTAAGGCTCTCTTAGTTTGGCCAATGTAAATTAAACCACACTGGCAAGGAATCCTATAAATACCCCAGGAATTCATATCCGGAATGGGGTCCTTGAGTATGGAAGTTGGAATTTTATTGATGGGAGAATAAACAACCCGAAAGTTAAATTTCTGCAAAATATGTGCAACTTTATAGCTAATTGATGGAAAGAAGGGAATGACAACAGAATTTTTATAATCTCCTAAAATAAGAGTGTGGCTTTTAGTGTGTTGAGATGAGAATTTTTAACTGCTTGATTAATAATGTTGGGTGAAAAGCCCCCTGTCAATAGCTATTGCTTTTAAATAATTTAGTTCTTCATCAAGGGCTAGTTTGGAGGAGCAAACTTGAAGAGCACGGAAAACATAGGAATAAAATGAAGCTAACTTTTGTTTAGTCGGATGACATGATTTAAAGTGTGGTGGAAGGCAAACCGATGAAGGTTTACGGGTAAACCTGTAGTACTGAAGTTGGATGTGTTACGTGTGACCAGAATGTCGAGAAACGGAAGAGAATTGCAAGTCTCAAGTTCAAAAGTGAACTGAATAGCAGGATCAATAGAATTCATTGTTGAAAGAACTTTATTTAAATCATCTTTATTACCTTCAAACAGGGTAAAAGTATCGTCTACGTAGCGGAACCATGCCGGGAAGTTTAAAGTTTCAAACAATTTTGATTCATAATAATGCATGTAGATATCAGCCAGGATGGGACTGAGGGGGCTTCCCATGGCTAATCCCTCAGTTTGCTTGTAATATTTATTTTGGAAAACAAAATGTGTTTGTTTCAAAACAGAGTTGAGTGAGAGAAATTAGCTCATCAATTTCGATGCAAGAGAAATGAAATTCGCGAAGTCTGGTTTCTAGACATCTTAATGCACCCTCCACTGGGACATTGGTGAATAATGATTTTACATCAAAAGAAACCATGAGTAAATTACTAGGAGAAATGTTTTTAAACCTTTTTTACAAACAACTCTATTGAATTTTTATGGTGTAAATGTTATTGTCTAATAGAGTTGAAAATCTAGAAACTAATATTTAGCTA